ATATTTGGAGTTACGGACATTCTAATGTTGAACATTATTCCACTCTGTAGATAGCATTGCTCCTCCTTCCTACATATTCCCAATCCTTGCAAATTTTCGCTCTCTTCTTCTGCCCATTAGTCAATGGAGACAAGATTTATTTTGCAATTCAGGTGTTACTACACGAAATCCTGTCATAAAAAGTCAACTGGCATCCCTATTGGTTCCTTTTCTCGCCACATGAATCTTTAGAAATGGAATTGGTTAATCCCCTGCCATATACTATGTAACTTAGATACACATGCCATGGATAACTTTTTTTTTTGGGTTAATTGATAACTTGATATATTTTTTGTTGAAATGTTTCTATAAAAGTACTTTGTCTCACTTAAAATCTCACCTTCCCTCTCTTTTAAATTATGTACTGATGTTTCGTGAAAGCTTTTTTAGGCCGGCAGTTCTCGTACCTGCATTCATGCCAGACACATGTATATTCCTGTCTGTAAAATAGCCCATATGTGTAGTCTCTCTCACAAATTTTCATATGGAGGATTGTTCTAGCCCAACAGATTTGCTAAGACTGACAGATGTCTTCTAAGGAGGTCTCTTCCCCTGATGATTTTTCTTGACACCATCATTGGCTCAGCCATATCAATCAGAGCATCATCTCAGGCTGCTGGGATCAACAAAGCCATGTCACGAGATCCTAAATTACCTTACTACTAGCAGTTCAACTCAAAATAAATATTATGGATCATTCTACACAATTAACTCCTGTCCTCTTAATCCAACTCACCATTATTTTCCTAGAGATAATTAGGGGTTATCTTTATGTGATCTACAATTCAACATTAAGGTTAGTCTCCCATATCTCTTTCATAAATGAACATTTCATGCTGCATACCCACAGAATTATTCCTTTTGCCCGCATGAAATTTTAGGGCTCGAGTAGGGTTTTCATGGTAAGACTTATAAATCTTAGACCTTCTATCAAGAATTTGAAAGTATAACTTCTTTTCTTTTCTTTTTTTAATAAAAATGATGGGATTCATTCTAACCTCACACATACCGGCAGAGTTAATATGAAATAAAAGAACTGTAATCCATTTTGAAATGAAGGTTTTTCATAGTAGCCAGTGGGCCATAGAATTTCCAAAGATAAAAAAAGAAAATAAAAAAGGCTCCCTAAACATTCCAAAAAACATTTTAGTTATGAATGGAAGATTAGGATTTAACACAAGATGTTTCATTTCCCAACGTTAAAGGAATTCTCTTTCAGAGGTGCCAGCAGATGGTGAAACCAAAGAGCTTTTCAATGCTCCTTGACATATGGTTCTATCCTCACAAACATTCTAGGAGAGAGCCAAGAAGCACAGGGTTACAATTGTAGAATATTAAGATAGATGTATGGAGACTAGTAAGATAGAAGATTATTAGGTGTGTAGAAGAATATTAAGTGTCTCTCAGTCTAGTGAAATTAGGTAACACAATTTGCATTAGACTCTTCTTGATATGTTGAGTCAAAACCAAAAAATTCCTGACCAAAATATAAGTACTTGTCACCTTTTGCCCATATGGAACTTTAGTCATAGACAATAAGTTTGTCAAATTATTGATAGCTGTTGATACCAGAGCCAAATCAGGATTAGGCCACCTAGTTAAAGGGTTAGGATGTTGGACATCTAAATCTTCACCCCATGCTGGAATCCAGCTCCTCCACTCCATAAAAGAAAGTAATACTTGATTAGTCTTGAACCCAAAATGTCTGCAATTTACCATTTCTAGGAACTTCCTTCCTCTACAGTTACCTCCTTTCTGGCTGAAATCAAGAACTTTATCCTCACCATCATCTGGAAATAAAGGATAGAGGGAGCTTGTGCGGACAATCAGAAGAATGTTTAGGTTGAATTGGGGAAGATTAGTTTAACTTAATGTTCTGCATTTGTTCTTTTGCATAGTGTTTTGAAAGGCATAAGGCGATCTCATACTTGATGTGGCCTAAAGAAAAGGAGAGGAGGAAGGTGGCGAGAAGATTGGATGAAGAGAGAGAAAAGAACACACCCACAAACCTCCCCATTCCTCCGGGGAGTGGACTGGTTCAATAGAGAGAGAGAGAGAGAGAGAGAGAGAGAGAGAGAGAGAGAGAGAGAGAGAGAGAGAGAGAGAGAGAGAGAGAGACGAAGAACGAACGAACGTAACGTAACTAACGTAACTAACGTAACGTAACGTAACTAACTAACTAACTAACTAACTAACTAACAACTAACTAACTAACAACTAAC